CTGGTGGTTAAGGGCGCTGGACTCCCACATGGCCAACCACGGTTCAAGTCCTGGACCTGGCGGCTTGCTTTCTCACTTCTCTCCCTATTCCTCTCTGGTCAAAATTTAGAATAAATAAATAAATAAAGTAAATAAAAAGGTAATTCTTTAAAATATTATGCATATAATAATTTGGAATTAAAAGGATATAAATACAACATTTGCTTTCTTTAGTTTTTTTCAATAAAATTAAATTTGTCGGCTTCTTAAAAAAAAAAAAGAAAGTTAATGGGCCTCGCTGTGGTGGCACAGGCAGTCAGGTGCCATGAAGGATGCTGGAAAGGCTCCAGGTTCGGATCCTGAGTCACCCTGAATATGCAGGCATGTCCTGGGAGCTGGGGGTCGGAGGTAGGGGAGGATTGTGCCATGATGAGACCCTGTCTCTCCATATATTTATTTATTGTTTTAGAGAGTTTTGCCTTAGGTCATGTGTGCTCACCGGAGAGAGAGACACAGGGAGAGGGAAAGTGAGAAATCACCTCCCAAGGAAGATGGCCACACTGTAATCCTTTCTCTTCCATTCTCCACCTAGGATCCTGGGCACACCTGCACACACATCTGGCATGATTTTCAAGCCACCAGGTCCAGGACTTGAACTGCAGTCGACCATGTGAGAGTCCAGCGAAGTAACCACTATGCCATCTGCTGCCCCACCCCCCTTATTTTGAAAAGATCATTTGAAAGAATTTTATTTGGGGCCAGCAAGTGGTACAGTGGTTAGGGTACTAGACCCCCCACATAGTTGACCAAGGTTTGAGACCTGGACCTGGTGGCTTGAAATTTGTGCCAGGCATGTGTGTGTGCGTGCCCAAAATCCCAGAAAGGATTGCGGTGTGGCCATCCCCACTGGGGGGTGATTTCTTGCTTTCTGTTTCTCTGTCTTTCCAGTGAGCTCACATGCCCTATAGCAAAAATCTCTTTAAAAACAAACAACAAAATAACCTCCCCACCTCACAGAGTAAACAGAAAATGGCAACCCTTTATTGCTCTCCCTCAAAATCCATTTTTCTTTTTCTGCGTGAAATTCCACCTAAGAAACCCCAAAGCCTGGGAGCCACTGCTCTGGGGACTGGCTTTCTGTCCAGGGTCTGTTTTCCACACTGCTCCAGCCTGTGTACTCAGCTGCCTCGGCACCTGGCCCACTTTGCCAGTGTGGCTTTGGGGATAGTGTCTGCCTGTCTCCCTACAGGTGGGGACATGTCTCTTCACAGCCAGTGCTGTAGTTGCAGCCCGAGGGGCCCGTGGTGGTTTCCAAACTCTCCCCGGGCTCCACCAGTCTTCAGTGACAACACAACCACCCACTCACGGGCTTGCCAGGTGTCCATCGCCAGGGCGGGAGCATTCCCACTGGAGCACGACTGCTCCCCTGAGCTTTTCAGGAAGTGTACAGCAGGGGAAGCCAAGCGCCTCTGGATTCTTAAGACGCATCAAGGAGCAGGGGATTGAGACCACGCCTTGTAAAAGGCTCGGTGAGACCCTCTGCTTGGGACATGCTGTTCCCTATCTGCACAGAAACTACTGGCCACAGAGAACCCGGCTTAACCCACTTTCCTGGCCTGTGCTGGGGATACCCTTGTCACCCTGGAGTGTCTCCTGTCTGTATTAGTTTAACCCAAGCTAAAAGTTCAGACTAACAGCGACGCTCGCTCATGTTTAATCCCTGTGGTTTGAAAAGGGTGCTTCGGATCACGATGGCCGAGCACAGTTCAAGTACCAAACCTCCTGGTGGCTTGCTTTCTCATTTTCCCTCTCCCTCTCTCTCTCTCTTTGTCTTTCTCTGGTGAGCACAGGTACCCTATAACAAACTTAAAATTATACACACACACACATATATCCAGCAGGTAGTGTCATGGTGACATTGCTGGACTCCCACATAGTTGACCGCAGTACGAGTCCCAGACCTGGCACCTTGAAACTT